GTCCAAGTTTGGAGGCCATGATTGTCCATGAGAGATGCAGTAGTTTTTTAGTTCACTTCTGGCTGTCTCGTAGAATGAACAGTTAAATAAAATGTGAAAGGTATCTCCTTCAGTGGTGTTGTTGCATGTGCAGGTCGAGTTGCTTCGTCTTCCGATTCTGTAGAGGTAGGACAGGATGTTGCCATGTCCGGTTAGGCATTGAGACAGGGAAAACGACGGAGTGATATAGTGATAATTCTGTCTTTTGTGTATTGATGGCATGAAGCTGAACGTCATGCGGCCAGTTGCTGAGTTGTTCCATTCGTTCTCCCAAAGGTCTATGTTGCAGTCGTATATCTGGTTTTTGATGTAGGTGATAGGAAGAAGACCGAAGGACGGTTTTATGAGTAGTTCCGCTGCCCGTTTGGCCAATTTGTCGGCCCTTTCGTTACCCGGAATATTCGTGTGGCCGGGAACCCAGCCAAAAGAAATATTCCTGTAGCGGTTAAGATTATTTGTGAGATGGTTTAGTTTAATTCCCGTGTCTGTAAGCTATTTGGCACCATTGATCACACTGAGCACGTTTTTCTATCAGTGAAAAAGTTGATACTGCCCTTAAAGCTGTGGAGGTGCTTTGTGATGGTAGAGAGAGCCTTGTACATTGCCCACAGCTCTGCTTGATTGCTAGAGCAGTGGGCCCAGAGCTTGTGGAGTTCTTCGTGGATCACCTTGTTGGAAGAAGTCTCGTAAATAACAAAGGCCGATCCAGTGCCTAGGTCGTTGTTTGCACTGTTGGTGAAGACGTGCCAATCGGCAACATGCACATTGGGGTTGCCATCGGCCCTGATCAGATTAGTGGTGGTGGTAGCTGGATGGAAAAGAGTTGCGTAGTTCGTGAAGTGTCTATCTATACCATGATGAATTATTTTGTGTGCTATTTCAGTGGTGGGGATTTGGCTGCTAGCAACCATAGTCTGTATTTTGTCGCCCGCAAGGTCCTTGAAATTACCCTGCATAAGATGCCATTTCCATACCATTGTCTTAATCTTGACGTAGATCGGAGTTATATTGGCTTGGGTAAGAAGAGCATCAGTAGGTGCCGTATGGTACGCTTTACAGATGCGGATAGCAAAGCCCCTTTGGGTAGATAAAAGTTTCCTTTCTTTGTGGATAATAGACGCTTTGTGACCCCAGAGCTCAGCGGCGTAAAGTAACGCTGGCTCGATCGCACCTTTATAGATGACTTTACAATGCTTGGCCGTGAGGCCCCAGTTGTTTCTCGCAATGTGATGCATCATGTTCGATTTTTGCTTTATTTTGTGGCAGATGGTCTCAATATGGTGGTTCCAGCTCAGGGTTGGGTCGAGGTGAACTCCCAAGTACTTAATAATAGGTTTAATTTTGATTTTGTTGCCATTTAGGTAAATACAAGGGGGCCTTTGGAGCTGTTTGCGACGTGATTTCCTCATGCAGACAAGGCCTTCGCACTTGCTGTAGTTCAGAGGCAATTTGTATCGCTCGCTCCAATCGTGTATCTTGTCGAGGATTTCGTTTGCCCTTTGCTGAAGCTTGCCGCTATTTTGGTGCCGAATCATGACAATAGTATCGTCGGCGAAGCCCTGTATTTGAATATCGTCAGTGTTGTGAATTGTTTTAAGGAGGTCGTCGTATACAACGTTCCAAAGGCCCGGGCCACACCGGGACCCCTGGGGGCAGCCACGATTAACATTCTTTGTGATATTTAGCCCGCCTGAGAAAAAGCCCACTTTTCTGTCAGTCAGATAGCTGGCCAAAAGGCCATAAATGTTATCGGGGCAGTTTGTGTCTCTTAGTTTCTTCAGAATGGCCGGCTACCAAAGGTGGTCAAATGTTTTCTTAAAATCCACATTTACCAATAAGGCGTGTTTATCCAGGGCCTAAGCGTTGTTAACAAACCTCACGACATTATTGATGGCCGTAAGCGTGGAGTATCCAGGCCTGAAACCATATTGATTGGCGTTGAGACACTTATTGCTTGTCCCCTCGATGTGGGTTCCTGTCCGTGGTGAGGGGACCTCCCAGAGATGGTTTAGTAACTCTTCTTTACCATCCCTGGGATCCGAACGCCCACCCACGTGTTTGCCGTGCGTTGTGTCCCGTATGCCGGAAAAGGGGATCCTGGTAGTTGAGGGGCAACATAACGTCCCCAACACACTGCTTTGGCCCCTGCTTCGGATAAACGGGAGGCTCAAATCAGGCTTCGTTTGAGTCAATCGGCTGGTCGTTGAGTCATTTGACCTCGGCCTGGAGTCAACTGATCGATTCAGACCGGGCGGACATGTCAGACAAGATGTGCTCTTCTCGACTGTATTGTGATGGTATAGCTCCTGGGAAACCCTGGTGTGACAGTCTATGGGAGTCCCCCATGTGACGGCATCCCCTTGTTGGGCCCCATGGTGGGGGGGGTCACTAGGAGCCGAATAATTAAATATCAATCATGGACCCAAAAACTTTTAAACATTTTGACAAAGCGACAACATCGACGACAAAAGAAAAGACCTCCAGCCAACCTGCTTACTTAATAGTGCACGCAACTGGAGAAAAACCCCTCGCTAAGTGTTCTCCTTTTTTCATCCAAAAGCTTTTCGAATCAACCATTGGGCATTTAAAAAAGATCCAAAAATTGAGGTCAGGGGACCTACTAGTGGAAACAGCCTCCCCTCAACAAACAACAAAGCTTTCAACAATGAAGACTCTTGGAGACATGGGAATATTAGTCACACCACACAGAAGTTTGAACTCATCACGTGGTGTGATATCTGAGTTTGATTTGATGTCTGAAGACGAATCAGACATTCAGATTGGCCTGTTNTATGGACAGAACATACTTTTCCTTGGAAGCTATCTATCATTATTTTCATTCCCAAGCCAGGTAAAGACAGCAAGAATTTGTCTAAGTACAGACCAATCTCTGACAAGTTGCCTGTTTAAACTTTTTTAAAGGATGGTAAACAGACGTCTCATGTATTTCTTAGAGAAAAATGAATACTTTTCACCACATCAGTGTGGTTTTCGTAGGAACAGAAGTACACCAGATAACTTAGTAAACCTCGAAACATATATATGCGAAGCATTTGTTTGATGACAGCACTTAGTGTCTGTGTTTTTCGATATAGAGAAGGCTTATGATGGCTGTTGGCGATACGGGATACTTAGTGATCTGTACGAATTCTGGTTGCAGGGTAATTTGCTAATTTTTATAAAAAACTTTTTACAGAATTGAAGATTCCAAGTCAGGATGGGCAACACACTATCTAGGCTCTTTACACAAGAAGGTGTTCCTTAAGGTTATATTTTGAATTTGACTCTGTTTCTAATCAAAATTAACAGCATAGCTAACTGTCTTACCTCTAGTGTGAAACAATCTCTGTATGTGGATGACTTTCAGATCTCTTGCCAGTCTAGCAACATGAGTTTTATCGAGAGACAACTGCAAACCTCCTTAAATCGCATAGACAATTGGTGCAAGACCAATGGTTTCACTTCTAACACGGAGAAGACCTTGTGCATACACTTTTGCCAAAGGTGTGGTTTGCACCTGGACCCTGAAATTTACCTAAATGGGATTAAAATTCCAATGGTGAATTAGGCTAAGTTTCTAGGTATTATATTCGAACAAAAACTGACTTTTTTGCAACTGACATTTTGCGCAATTTGAAGAGCAGATGTCTAAAATCTCTAAACGTTTTAAAGGTACTATGCTGCTCATTTTGGGGAGCAGACAAAGTTTCTATTCTCAGAATTTCTAGGGCCCTTGTCTGCTCTAAGCTGGACTACGGTTACATTGTTTATTGCTCTGCACGAGAATGTACTCTGGATGCTGGATCCAATCCATCATCTATCTTTGCATTAATGCACTAGGGCATTTCAAACTTCTCCTGTCTAAACTTTGTATGTGGATGCTTATGAGCTTCCACTATCTCTGAGGAGGGAACAGTTGTCACTGTTTTATTACATTAAACAAAAATCTCAGAAAAATCTTCCAGCTGATTGTCCAGATACTCAGCTGAAAAGAGTATTTGTTGCTTGGACAAGTAGTGTCCCTACATTGAACATAAGAATGGAGAATGTAAGCAGCATGATTGACCTTAACACAAGCAACATCGTTCATGTTGAAGTTAATAGTATTTCACTTTGGTCAACCCCAGCGATAGAAGTTGATTTAAGCTTAAAGCAGTTCCCCAAAGAAACCACACTAGTTTATGTCTATAGACAGCACTTCGCAGAAATTCAAAATTGTGACAGGAATTTTAGATCCATCAGTGTAAATAGGAATTAATCAGATAATTATGTTGGCTCAGCCTTTGTTTGTTAGGATGAAATCGTGGCAGAACAAATTTCACCAAATTCTTTCATCTTTTCTGTGGAGGTGCAGGCTATTTATTTAGCCCTAAAGTATATAAATAGTAAAGCTCATCATTGCTGCGTGATTTACACTGACTCAGTTAGTGCACTTCAGACTTTGATCTCGTGTGTACCTAGTTCTCACTCTATAGTGATTAAAATTCAGGAACTATTTTGTCATCTTACTATGTGCAACTCCTCTATAAAGTTTTGTTGGGTTCCAGGCCACGTGGGTATATGAGGAAATGAAGCTGACACAGCTGCAAAGGCAGGTAATCCTTCACTGCATGCAATGCTTATTGAAGAAAGCGATTTGAAGCTGGTAGTTTAAAAACGACTAGCGGAGAAATGGCAAACCATGTGGAATGCACAAACCCACAATAAACTACACGAGATCAAACTTTTGGTTGAAAATTGGATATATAATAGGCATTATGATAGGAGATCTGAGGGTTTCTTTTCTAGTCTGAGAATTGGACACACTCGACTGACTCATCAATACTTTTTGAAGAGTGATGATGAATCTGTATGTTAATATTGTAATTGTACTGTAAGTGTTAAACACATACTTTTCAACTGCGTTGCTCTTTATGAATGTCGTAGACAGAATTTTGGAAATGCAATTTTGAGAGAGATTTATGGCCAGAGGCCAAATCTTGATNTTGCCATCCTTCGTTACGGCAGGATATCTGCGCTGCCCTGTTCGTCCATACGTTCCAAACCCGCTGCGTTGCTTCAAATGCCAGCGATTTGGACATTCTCAGACCTCCTGCCGAGGCAAAAGCTTATGTGCACAGTGTGGTACTGAAGGTCATGACAGTACCGAATGCAAAAGTACACCACACTGTGTGAACTGTAAAGATGCCCATCCTGCCTATTCCAGGAAATGCCCTGCATGGCAAAGAGAAAAGGAGATTCAACGGGTGAAAACTGTAAAAAATGTATCATACCCAGAAGCCCGTCGCATGGTCACTCCAAGTGCACCATTGCAGCAGAAGACATTTGCTAGTGTGTTGAAATCCACTAAGACATGTGGGGTTCAAACAGATATTTCTGTATCCTCAAGTGAATCTCTTACTCGCCATGCAAAATGCTTATTGATTGCATCTGCACAATCAGAAGAAAAGGAGAACACAAAGACTAAAACATCTGTAACTAAAACGGGAGTAACAACCAGAAATGTGGGTTCTAAAAAAGCCAGTAAGAACCCACTTAACAAAGAGTGAAANTGTTTTCTTATTTATATTGTATATTTCTGTTGTTGTCGTTGTTTATTTATTCATTTATTTAATTATGTTTTATGTTTGGTATCTGTGATGTTTAAAATTTTTATTATTTGCTCTGGTGCAGCTTTGCCTACATGGCTCTTGTGCCAAAAAACTAAAACCAACCAACTAATTAGCAGATAGAGCATTTTTGTTAAAACACTTCGGCTCTAGCGTATATATGTAAGTAATGGTTTTGGAAGACGAAGTTGTATAAACTGTTTATTGTTCAGCCGAAAAGCATCAGCTTGAAGATTAAACTGAGATTTGTGACTTCGAATTCTAATTATTTTTCTCTCCAATTGCTCGTGAAGTAATATTATTTTCACACTGAACGACGCCATGTTGTTTACACTTTTGTTACATTCCTAACGGCAGGTTGAGAGTGATTGATAACAAAAGTTTAGTTATGACACATAGCTATTGGAACTGAAAACGAAACGTATGGCTCAGAATAGCATTTTCACTGTTGATTAACGCAAATCACGTGGTTCTGATAGAAACTGGTATTTATCGTACTCGTTAGCTTAACGATACTACTGAGAATTGGTCCTAAGCTCTACCTATGATGTTTGTAGTTGACACAGACCTTAGGTTTCTGTTTGGTAGATGAACCACATTAACTGTCGTCATTGTTTTATCATGTGGTCCTCATTATGTGAACGTCTTTGGTGTCTTTTATTTTATCATTATTGATTTAATTTTGTACGTTGCTATTGTTTCCCCTTTTTTAATTTTGTGGATGTCACTTAATTAGGAAGATCTTTGCGATTTTTTACCATTTGAATTAAGTTAGTTTGATGGGACACAAGAGAAACGGACTGGTATAATAATTATCTATTTTTATACAATATCCTGTTTCTAGGAATTGCTTTATTAACGAAAGCACAATATTTGTTGAGTGACTTTTTCTGGAAGGGTCAACTCGGATAAGTTTATTGGTATCTCGGTCTCCTTTCCCGTATAAATTGTAATATTATATACATGCTCAGTATTTGCTTTACAGACTAAAAAAGTTTCTATGCCGAATTTTGCGGGTTTAATCGGAATATATATTTTCTATGATAATCGACCTGTCTAGAGGACGAGACTTATCTATTGAAATATTTCGCGATGGAGTGTAAGCAGACCAGAAATTGCATCTAAACAGATTTAGAAAAATATTTTGATTTTGTACAGTTTAGAGGTTTTTTCATTGCTCGTAAAATGCAAAAATAAGAGTAACAATAAAAATCTTTCTTAGAATTACTTTGTTGAACATGGGGGTTTTGATTATTAAATTTGTAGAGAAGTAAGATTGCAGAGTCGGCTTATTGACAATTTTCATCAGGAGTAGCATCCCCTCTAGCAATCAAATTTTACCTGGATTTGTTGGCTTCCAACTCTGCATTAGGCTCTTCCTTCGTAGACCGAGAGGACTATCTGTCACTTCTTTTATTTTATTTTTTTCGGCTAACTTATTGGTTTCCTCTGCTATAAGTTTGAGTAACCTGTGGTTGGACAGCTGCTCAAAAATTCCAATCACATTGTCGGGATCTGTTATTGAAATATTCACTGTCAAAACACCAGTGAAACGAAATTGTTCTCGAAGCTGAAGGAGTAAAGGACCATGTATCTGAAGTTATAGAGAATTGTTTATCACCTATTTCGTCGTCACTGTTTTCAAAATCATCACTCACAAAATTGCTATTTTCATCAGATAAAATAAATGATTCCTGAGATGCTAACAGTCCTTCCTTTACACATTTATTGGCAAAACGTTCTGCTATGTTGCGGAAAGATATACACAAAGATAAAAAATTTAAGAGCAAAATATAAACTTTCTCTCAGTTTGAAATGCAAACGAGAAATGAAGGATGCCCAAACAACCGTATAATAATAAACAAACTAACTAAAACATGCTAAGAACTGTAATAAACATTTTTTTTGAAAAATAGCCTACATCTGTTTCAAATCGAAAACTTTCAAAACTCTAAATAATTAGGCCTACCTTTCTTAAATTTCATGCCAATTTCAAATTATTGTGAATTATATTGTGCCATAATTTCAAACTTTTCATACACAATAAAACGTACTATTCACTGTGAAGACAAAAAAGCATAGAAAAACAAACACTTTTTATATAGCAGAAACATATTTATTTATATTTAAACATATTGTGCAATTAAATTTAACATTAAATTTTATAAATTTTACGTATTATGGGTTTTTCCATTATAAAAAGTAAATTTTTATATTCAGCTTACGGCTTTGAAATGCCTAAATCTGGCTCTGTGTAAGGCACGTGGACTCAAGAGATTTATCACTTCTATACTCGTATAACTTAAAATTATATCAAGTTCACGATTAAAAGTAATTAAATGCACTTAATTTAGTAATAAAATTGCGGAATGTAAAACGTTTCCTATTGCTTTTGTAATTTATAATTTCGAATTAAGCATTGTCTATTATATTCAATATTTAAAAATCAAGAAAATAAATGAAATATTTAGGTGTTGTATTGAACACTGTAAATATTAAACAAANCCACCACGCTGGAAACTTGAAACGGCAGATTGGCCTTCATTTTCCACTTTGGCTAACATCACGGAGGAAATGGTCAATACTGCTGATAGCAATGATGCAGTTGAGGTTGTCACTTCCAGTATCATTCAGGCAGCAGAGAAAACAATGGGGAAGACATCAGCTAGATATCCAAAACATTTGAAACCATGGTGGAATCAGAATTGTGAGGCTGCATTTAAAGCACAAAAGAAAGCATGGCGAATTTTCAGAAGATACCCCACTGCTGAAAATTTGGTTGCTTTTCAAAAAGCAAAGGCAAATGCCAGAAGAATAAGTAGGCAAAGCCAAAGGCATTCTTGGAAGCAGTATGTTTCAAGCATAACATCTTCCATTCGCTCAAAAGCAGTCTGGGATAAAATCTATAAAATTAATGGGAAATATGCTTTTCACTCTCTGTCCATGTTGGAAAATAATGGCACAATAATCAGCGATATACAGGGTATTGCCAATTAGTTGGGTGAAACGTTTTCTTCTTCATGTAGCAATGTAATGTTTACTAGGAATTTCCAAGCTTATAAAGCTCAAAGTGAAAAACAATACTTAAACTTACACTTATCATCTAATGAGGAATATAATGTGCCATTCACCAGCATAGAACTATATACAGCAATCTCTCGCTCGGGGAATACTGCTGTAGGTCCAGATAAAATCCACTACAGCATGATTAAAAATCTTTCGGACAATTCTCTTCGTAATGTTCTGAATCTGTTTAACAGAATATGGACAGAACATACTTTTCCTGACTCTTGGAGGCTATCTATCATTATTCCCATTCCCAAACCTGGTAAAGGTCACAAGAATCCCTCTAA